ATAAGCATTAGGATACAGCACATACATTGTGCTTCCCTAGCTGAGACAAGAGGTATCTAGTGGGTACCAATGGATTGATTATATTCTCGCGGACATTCTTCTGAAGAGCACGGATTCGGGTTTGACTCTTATTTAGGGTAAGATCGAGCGTCGAAGGTATTGCTGGAAAAGATGTCCGTCAACAGGGTGCTACAATACTTGAAATTTGGTGACCCAACCAAGGTGAACTTTTTCTCAATTTGCGTCGTTTGCTTATGAAATATCACCATTCACCCCGTTGACCATTTCTTGCTAGGAACGACTATTGTGGTTTGCAATCTGAAATGAGTGAACACCTCAAATTCACTGTTCATAAAACAAAGTTGTGACATTCAGGTGCTAAAATTAGCAGAAAATGCGATGCCGAGTGCTCCAGGAGTGGGACAGGTCATTGTCAAGTGGATCGCTTCGCCAGTGGATCCGCTTGATTTGAACAAGATCAGTGGTTCGTATCCAGCTCATAAAGCGCAATTTCCATGCATTGGTGGATCGGAGGCAGTTGGCATAATCGATAAGGTATTTTACTTTTGCAGGCTTCACCAAGAGCTGATGCTAGAGCTTACGGAATACCTGAGCAGCTTCATTGAATCAGCTCACTCAAACCACATTTTCCTCTCAACTCCTCCAGGTCATAACGATGACCTGAAAAAATGACGACATCCGTCATGATATCCTTAATATTTTAGGCTCGTGTTTTTGGTATTTCAGGTTGGATCAGGAGTAAAAGGGTTATCGGTCGGCGACAAAGTCATACCCACATATCTGAGAGACCCAGTGTGGGCAAATTATGGACTCTGGAAAGCTGAGGACGTTCGGAAAGTCGATAACCGTATGAGTATTGTGGGTAGTTCAATGCTTTGAATTTGTTACGGTCTCATAAACGTCAAAAAATGTTGAATGTGACCGTTCAATAAATTTAAAAATTTTTGAGGAATCAGCAGCAACGTTGTTGATCAATCCAGCAACAGCATACATAATGATGAAATACTATGTGGATTTGAAACCTGGTGATTATGTGATCCAAAACTGTGCTGGATCGTCAGTTGGACATTACGTTATTCAAATTGCCAAAGGTCTTTCGAATTGCACTGATTGTGAAACTTTCTGCTATGTTTTCGTTTATGATCCATTTCCATTATTCAAATTCAACTAAAAGCTCTCGGAATGTGCCCACTACAATTTCTGCTTAGTGGGAGTTTGCATATAAGATGATCAATGAAAAATGATCAACTCTCATGAACAATCTCGTTAAAACTTCAGCATTGGGTTATAAAACGATCAATACAGTATGGGATGGTCCTCGTTCAGCCACATCGCTGAAAAGGTTAAAGGAATTGGGTGCAGACTACGTGTTCACTGATAACGAATTCGCAAAAGAAGGCAAAAAAGAAATCAAAAGTCTCAAGGTTCCCATCAAGTTGGCGCTCAATGGTACCGGAGGTCCATCGATTCAAAAGATCTCGTCGGTTCTCGCTAGGAGTGCTACTGTTCTTACATATGGTACATTCCAGTCGCACAGTATTTCGTTTATTCAGAATGGATTTCTAAGTATGAATATTTTTTCCATGGAAGAAATCGCTGTCATATTCTAGTGGAACAAAACATTTCATTGCCTTGCAATCTTATGTACTGAGTCCCTAGCATTTTCCTCAGTGTCATAAGCGATCGTTAAGTTATCGAAATTCACCATTACATCTACCCAACTGTTTTCAATCGTTTCAAGATAATGAAAGTGCAGCAACTCACTGATCTAGATTGAAAAACGGCTGATCCAAACTCATTCGCTGTAATAATCTCAGGTGGAATGTCACTGAAGCGACATGAATTCTCAACCACATCATTTGTGTTCAATGATTTGCGAGCGTTCGGATTTGCTCTCTTCGACTATCTCGAGATACCACAGAATAAACAGAAAGTTGATGAAACCTACAGACATCTTCAAGTATGAATTTTTTTTTCCATCTGGGATTACTATCTCTGTCACACTTCAATTAGTTCCTTCCCATCAATCATCATCAAACCCACACTTCAGTCTATCATTTCATCAATCGTTTACCAAGTGCATTTAGAACAGACTTTTCTCTCAAACTGATATTCAGCAAAAAGGCTGATTCTGTAAAACTGTTGATGAGAAAAAACTGCAGAAAAAATTTCGGCATAAGCGTTTGCAATGGATTGTGTACGGTAAATTTGTTGCACGTGAAAAATTCTCAACACTACATGAATTTGTGCAGGATTTGTACGCTAAAGGAGAGATATCTACACCGATGATGGAGCGGTGCACAATGGACGATTACGCGAGAGCGATTGCAAGAGCAGTTGAAGGAGGGCATTTGAAACAGTTGCTGTATTTTGATACGAGTTACATGAAAAAGCAATAGTTTTATTCGAAGNATGTACTAGATGTGATTGTTATGAAATTCATTCGCTCAATTTTTTACGTTCTCATTGAAAAATCTCTATAATAACGAATAAATCTATGACGTGATCAAATGAATCGAATGTGCCAGTAGCAAAAACAAAAGAATAGAGTGGTTATGGAAAAACTGAACATGCAGAAGTGATGCTAAAAATCGTGCTCTTCGAATAAGAAACGGATCTGAAATTAGATTTTAGACCAGTTGAGATTGAACAAAAAAAATTCACTCAGAACATATGCTTAATGATCAGTTGCATTCAACGAAATCGCCTGACAACATGTGTACTTCTCTGAAACTGTAGATTTTGGAGAACTAAAACGTCACTAGCCGCAACAACCAAAGATATGCAGGTAGTTAGGGAACGGATATGCCCAGATCATGTCAGCATCGTGGCAGTCGTCCATTCGAGCCTATTGAAAGTAATGCCAAGATCCATAAAACTATGCATGCTGCCAGCTGTGAAATTCAACTCCTTGAGATACTACTTTCAACGAGTGAAACCTTGATCAATACCATCGCACTGTCATTGTCCGTTTCTGCCAAAGGTCTATGCAAACACAAATTAGTTGAATCTGAAATAACCTGCGCCTCACGTATATCAGATAAATACAGAAAAACAGCTAATTTCTTTGGCGCAAACCTGAGGATAGTTTTAGTTTGATGATGGTAAACCTGATACCGTTAGAGCAATGTACAGATGGAATGACAGATTACTATGAGGATAACCGTGTTCAAGCTAACGACACTCTCAGGTTTGCTCAGTAACATAGGTGTTTCTCCTCAGCATTCGATTCCAATGAACCTCTAGATTCAGAAAAACATATATGTTGTTTGGCGATTTTGCTTACTTGAGGAGATATAGCTGAATTCTTGAAGGTATCTCAACTAGCGCAGTGGCGGTAATTTCATATACATTGATTCACTACAGATCAGTCTATACATTACTATAGCAATATAGATGTTACCGTCTTCAAGCTAATGGTACTCTCAGGTTTGCCCATTAACATAGGTATTTCTCCACAGCAATCGATTCCAATGAACCTC